GCATGTCCATAGGTAGTCTACTTTTATAGTTCGCGCTCACATACCCATAGATAGTTTACTTTTTGAGCTTGCATGCCCTCAAACAGTTTTTGTTTTCATTTTTTCGGGCTAAGGTGCCCTTGAACACTTACTTTATTATGATATAGGAGTTTGCTTTTACGATAAAAACTTGCCCTAATAAATCAATTTACGTAAGACCGTGCCCTGAACATGCAACTAATACATCAATTTAGCATAAGACCGTGCCCTATGCATGCAGCTAAAACATTAATTAAGCATAAGGTCATGCCCTTTGCATGCAACTAAAACATCTATTTAGCGTAAGACCATTCCCTGAACATGTAGCTAATACATCATTTTAGCATAATGGTAGGAGCTAGAACCGTACTGCCCAGTAGCGTCCTAGACTACTCAAACTTTGTATAGCCTTCCATAACTTGAGCTCGAGCCTTAGCCAATTTATCCTCGAAGTACTTCTTGGCATGCATGAGCTCAAGCTTAGTTTCTTTGGCCTCATCTTTTGCATCCCTAATCTGATCCCAAGCCTTTTTGCCCTCGATCCTGGCCAAGACACGCTTAACCTCAAGCTTACAAACCCTTTTTTTTGTTCTCTTGGTTCTCCACCTTGAGCTTCAGATTACGTGTGGTATTTCTTCCTCTTAGGGCTAGGCATTGAGCAACGCTAGAGTTTAAAATCAAAGCTTTAAGATAAGCAACTCGAGGGTTATCCCATCATTGTGATCGACCTCCTCCACATATTTATTCACAATGCTTGAGATCAATGAGCATTCTACATATTCTTCCTTCAAGCTCTAGGGATGACGTTGTCATCCAAGTCAATGACCTTCGGCATGTCCCGAGGAGTTGGAGCTCGAACATTTGACTTGGGAGTGGGTCATGGTAGAGGGATCGAGCTTTTCTGTCCTAAGGTCTTCCTCATCCCTGTCATGACATCTTAGGCGCATCTTTCCTTGCCTTCTTCCCCTTCAACGAGGCAGTCACCTTTATCCTCGGGTCTTTAGCCTTATGGTGGACATTTGCAAGAAGCTTAGATGGATCAAAAGACATTTCTAATCCTGCAAAAAGCAAAAAGGCTAAGACATTTGCTCGATCTCTAGTTCAGATTAAATAAGGAAAAACATCCAAAATAAAGATCGTATCTTCAAAGACTCTCACATTAGCAAAGTCAAGGGTGTTATCCTCGAGTAGATAATCAATTTTCACTGCAAGAAGGTCATGATTTACTAGCTTCAACCTATTCCTTTTCTGAAACCTCAAAGTATGCCTAACCCTCATTGAATATGTCCTTATCAGAGATGTCCAAGTGTAAGCGAAATGATGGTCGAGGCCTTGAGGCTTTATGAAGAAGAAGCATTCTTTCCTACCCCTTAGAGAGCTCAGGGTGTCTGGTATCCTAAATCTCTCCTTCACAGATAGTACACAAAGTAGTTGTACCCTGACAAGAATTTCATAATAAAAACCATCCACGAGAGGTCGATCTAGACTAGACCTCGAGGCATATACATAAGATGAAGTAGTAAATCAGGAGCCTCCACCCATTACGAGCTAATTGGCTCGGGCACATAAATGAACGGGTGGAGCGACCACTTAAGCTCGACCTTAAAGGCATCACTAAAAAATGTCATCTCACCCTCTAAAGCATCTACCACCATTTCAATTAGCTCGAAGGCCGTTACATTGCACACATGTATAACCCCAAACTCCGTAGCCATCTTAATAATTACATGTTTCTTATCCTTAGTGGGCTTTTTAGGGTATGTGTGGACGAAGAATGTACCTAAGCCCTCAGGGCTACTAATGGTCGAGCTCCTAGAAGGATGGCTAATACTATCACTCGACCTATTACTGCTACTACTTGACATAATACTTCTTCAAAAATTAATTAATAACTTAAAGGCTCGGACTCTTACTTCTTAGGATGGTCACTCACAAACTCACTATCCCCGAACTCGAACTGCTTTTACTGGCCATTAAGAGTGAACATGTAAAAAATGAAAGTAAAAAGTGGGGTATTTATAGGGGTACTTGGAAGGTCAATGGTCGTCCAATTTCAGCCCTTGAATCATGACACGTGGTAATCATCTCAGATCGAGTGCTACCCACCCAACGCATGTAAGACACACATCCAATTTTAACCTACAACAAAGAATGGAGTTCGACCTTAGGTTGTTCTACCTCTTTGCATTTCACCTCGCAACTCAAGCACTCAATTGCTAGCTGTGATATGGATGCACGAGGGCTAGTGATATTTGCTAATATCATATAGCTCGATCTTGAACTTAAAAGCACAATCTTGCCATTCCTCGATTATCTATTGGGCTCCTTCATCCTGGTTAGTCTATCAAAGTCAGGTCGTATGTCGTGGGAGCGAAATCTTATCTCACACCTGCTTTAACTATAAGTCTCCATGACCTTTATTCTCATCCAAATTACTTCTATCACTTCGATTCAAACTCAAACAGAACACCTTTAATATGACATAAACACCTTACATGATATGATAAGAATTACAAGTAGTTGAATCCTTTCAGAAATCTATCATCAACATCTATAAATACATTATCAAAGTTCATTATTCAAGTATGTTTTTACATTGTTTATAGTTCATAGCCTCACACATAAATTTTTTCTCTAACTTAAGCATCGAAGAGGTGTTGAGGACAACCTTAATGCCTTTGTTTCAGGTACCGAAATGTCTTGTTCGCGACAAATCTCAGCCACATCGTATCATTGTATTTACAATTGCATTCTCTAGCCTAACTAGTTAAACAAAATTGTCTGACCAATAAATACAAATATAAAAGTTGGTCAAAATAGTTTTCCTTTCCTACTTGATTACTTCAACTTTATATCAACTACTTTCCTAGATATGTTCCATTAAACTGAATCGATCATAGTCATTGATAATATGTTAAAGTAACAACACTGAAATAAAATCTCAAATAATAGTCAAAAGTCATACGGGTATATATGAGATTATATAAAGAGTAGGGTATATATAAGAAAAGTGGGAGAAAGATGAGGGTTTTAGATTGAACAATGTCGAAGGCGGCCAAGGATTGGGCATTTTAGTTTGGATGTAATTAATATGGTTTATGTGAAGTTTAATTTATTTTGGGCATTAATCTAATATTTTCAAGTTTCAGAGTATTAGGCCAAATTTTCCCCAATAATTTTCGAGTAGTCCATGGATCGGTTCGATCTGGATTGGAAAAGAAGTGGTCGCCAAATGATCATCTTAATTTGACGTTGTCATTTGATTGCTTTAATTTAAGGCACTCTTTAATGCAAAATTTATTTTTATTTTATTTTTTAAATATTAATATATTTTTTAAAATATTGGGATGGATCATGTTAATCTGTCAGGAGTGCATATCAAATTTATTGACCCATGAACTGGCCGATTAAAATTATTGGGTCATTTTTACTAGTTCAATTCTGAGCGGATCATGTCAAACTGTTTGATTCGTCACTACTAAAACTCCATCAACACTAATCACGAAAACTGCAAAACGAACCGAAACCATTGATTTGAAATCGTTGGTTCAGATCTTTCCCTCAAACCGAACCAAATCGTTTTAAAATGATTTGATTTAGATTTCGATTTTCAAAAACCGCACAAAAACAAACTGAACTGTTTTTGTATTTTTAAATTAAAAAATTATTTTTATTAACTTATAAATTTTACAATTTTCACTTTTTAGAAAAATACCAATAACACCAATTTGGTAATATAAATTACAACTAACCCATTGAAATAGTCATAGAATGTAAATTAGGTTCATTATTATTGGTCCATGGTTTAATAAGTTCACAGCCCATGTTTTCACCCAATATCTAAGCTAAACTAAAATTATTCCCAAATCATATGAAATGCAAGCCCAAAAAAAAAAAAAACTATATTTTCGACAATCCAAATCATAATTAAACAAAACTATGAAGCAAATCCCGTCCAAAGCTTCAAAAGCCCTAACATAAACTCACTTTTCTTAAAAAGTTGACGCTTGTTTGCTACTGCTAAATGAATCGCCAGTCGTCTTTTGCCTATTAGTCTACTAATTTCTACTTAAATCACATTTTTCTCTCTTCTCTCTCGATAAGTCTCAAATTTTTATTCAAGCCATTTCCATTGTTTTTTATAGTTGTTGTTTTTTAACTTTGTTATACACTTGTGAGTTGTGGTTTGGATAGAAAAACGATTATTTGTATGCCTTGATGATTAATGAACTTGTTTGTGGTTTGAAAAGAACGAAAGACAAAGCATATTAATTGTGTGAAAATGTAAAAGTTCACTGTTTAGTACAACTACCTTCTACTTTCATAAACAAATTAGAGAATGAAATCCATCAATTCCCAATAACTTTAAACTTTATTAATCTTTGTACATCTAAATATATCATGATCAATCCTTATTTAACATCTCACTAGTAAAACGAAAAAAGTTTTAACCAAACTATAATAGCAGATGTGACTCTATCTTTACTAACCACTATGTGACAATATGAAATTGAAACAAGAAATAGTAAATAAAAATGAAGAAAGATGTATTTGTTCTATTCATTTCTTTTAGCAATCAGCTTTGAAAATAATTTATTCATAAGTTTCATGGTAAATATGAATGTAATTTAACATTATTAATTCTCATTTAAATTTATATGTTAACTTATTTTAAATATATTACTATAATATTGATAGGTAAAACGCGGATTAAAATCAAACTAAATCGCAAATTATGGTTTGGTTTGACAAATAAAATAGTTTGACTTCTTTGGAAAAATTTCAAACTATATAAAATAATTTGAATTAAAAATATAATATAAATCGTCTAAATCAAATCGCGTTAACCCCTAATAATCGTATCTACGCATACTCGCATGAGAAATCTCAAAATAGGAAGGGTATTTCCGTCAACTCAGTAAATTTCGACTTGCAATTATATCCCGCCCGTTAGCGGATAACAGATCCCATTTTTTGAAATCAGACCAAAACAGACACAGTGTGCATCTGTGCGACTGCGAGCGTTTAAAAATGGAGAAGATTTGCGTAGCAGTGAGATTGAGACCAGCAGTGAATGAAGAATTCGCAAACGGAAATGGGTTCCACTGGAAAGTGGAAGACAATCGCATTTCTCTTCACAAATCTCGGGGCACCCCCATTTCTGGTGTTTCATTTGCTTTTGGTATGTTGAAATTTGAATTGCTAATTTTGTATGCGTACAGATTCACTTATATTATGTTTTATTTACTCGAGAATTTAGATGGGTTTTCATTTTTTCCCCCCAAAACTGTTGTTTTCAGATCATGTGTTCGACCAGGATTGCTGTAACAGTAGGGTATATGAGCTTTTAATCAAGGACATTATACATGCAGCTGTCGAAGGCTTCAATGGTAAGCTTTGAACTCTATACTTTTCCGATTTGACCTTATTTGTGTTTGAAGTCAGTCAAGAACCTTCGAATAGGTACCCAAATTTCCTAAATGGACATAGCAAGGCTTGAATTTATAACATTTTCTTAGTGTTACACGTAGTTGATTTGTATTATGCTTTTACATTTCTCATATTTCAGTTAAATCAACCCTTTTTATAATCTATCTTCTTTTTCCTTTTCCCCGTTTTTATTGGGATGAGTGCACTTCTACAAATTAAACATAGATGATGCTAAATGATTTTGACGGCTTATTGTTATGTTGGGTGCCAGTGGATGGTGGGCTTTTAAAGCTAAAAATATATTTACAATTTACAAAGCCTTTGTCAAACTAACTGTTAAAGACATTTGTTGCCAAGCACCAACAAGGATAGCATACAATTTGTTCCGGGCAAAATAGTTTTGTGCCTCAGCCTCCTTAGTTATTTTGCTAATAAGAGATTAATACATCTTGTGCTAACATATAAATGAGATGTCATGTGAGTTTCTAATTAAAGAATTATGAGGAGATAAAGGTAATATATTTTATTAGCTCTCTACCATATTGGCAATTTCAGCAGAAGGTCGGTCATCCACTCACTTACAGTGAGCTTGGCAAGAGATTTGAATGATTGGTAAATATTTCTATATGATAGCAATAGAACTTGATATGATGATCATACCTTATTCATACATTCTGTTGTTTCTGTTCACTCAAAGCATTTCTGATTTAAATATTAAGATGTTAATGCAGTAGATACTAAAATGTTTATCATTCAACGTTTATGTTATTTAGAGATTATTTTTCGTATTCAATAACAAATTTTGTGATAGTCAAAATCGTTCCTGCAAGGTATCTATATACAATGGAGTTGTTGTTTTCTTCTTCATTTTTCCCTTGGTGTATTTTCTTTTAATGGACTAAGTAGAGATCTAAACTTCAAATTTTGTTTATTTGGTAATAATGTAATATGCAGGAACTGCATTTGCATACGGACAGACAAGTAGTGGGAAGACTTTTACCATGAATGGTTCAGAAAATGATCCAGGAATTATCCACCGGGCTGTAAAAGATATATTTACAGAAATTGAGATGGTATTGTCACCATTTGCTTGATTTAACTGAAATTGTATTTCCACAGTTGTAAGTATATATGGATTTAAATAGACGTTCTTTGCTTGTCTTCTCAGACACCCGATAGGGAGTTTTTGGTTAGAGTTTCCTATATGGAAATTTATAATGAAGACATCAATGATCTTTTTGCTGTGGAAAATCAGAAACTGCAAATTCACGAGAGTTTGGAGGTAATCTATTGACAGATTATTTGAAATGCCATTGCAAGTTTTTCGACTACAAAGACGTTGATAGCTGTTCCTCTCTAGCGTGGAGTTTTTGTTGCAGGACTCAGGGAGGAAATAGTGAATAGTGCTGAACAAGTAATTGACCTTATTCAACTTGGAGAAGGTTTGACCCTTGAAAATAATGAAACTGAAATAACTGTTATGCTATTATGCTACCTTTTCTACCTTCTTTTTGTTTCTTTTGATTTCATGCATAATTTACTGATACTTGTTTGTATATGTTTCTTTCAGTTAATAGACATTTTGGTGAGACTAACATGAATGTTCGTAGTAGTAGATCTCACACAGTGTTTAGGATGGTATGCACTTGAACTTTGCAAGATCTTTGTTTAGGGTCGATTACTTTCTTTTACCTAGTGTAGATGTCATTAATTTTTCCTATTTTTCGTAAACCAGGTAATTGAAAGCAAGGGAAAGGACAACAATGCGAATAACAGTTCAAGTTCACACGACGCAATTCGTGTCTCTGTCTTGGTTTGAATCTAACTCTATTTGCTTTCTAAGATCAATTCGTATTTTATACTGTGAGGTACCATGATTTTACCCATAGTTGGCCTAGTCATTAACCTGACGAAAGCACAATGTCAACTGGTCCCTGGTTCAACCGATGGGTTATTGCCATGTCAAAAAGTGAAATGAAGTCATTTTTCTTTTAGAAAAGGCATAGAAATAAATATAAGCCCATGTTTGGACTCAATTAATTTCAAAATGTATTTCTCTCTTCTTTCCAACCACATTTTCTTCAATAAAATAATATGACACATAATCCAAAACTTTTCCTTCTTTTTAGCGACACATTTTTAAAAAAATACTATTACAAAATATATTTTTCCCAAAAATTAGCCCTATTTGGGATCCATTATAATGTGCTTTTGGGAAAAATGTATTTTGAAATAGTGATTTTTTTTGAAAAATGTGTGATTAAAAGGAGGAAAAATTTTGGTTTTATGTGTAATATTATTTTATTGGAGAATGTGTGGTTGAAAAAGGAAAGTAAAAAATGTATTAAAATTATGATGGAGCCCAAATTGGAGATAATTATAATGGAGCTCAAACAAGGGCTAAATTAAAGTAGAGCTCAAACAAGGGCTAAATTAAAGTAGATTCTAATTTTAAAATTCATTTATTAATTGGAATATGATATATTCTTAAATTTTCTCTTTTTCAAAAAATTAAATATAAGATCTATGTAAGTTTTTCATATATAGTATTTATCTAGTTGCATCCATATTATTAGTCGGTCTTTCATTTCTATTTTTCATTAAAAATTTGTTTGCTAAGTTTTTTCCAAAGACAAATAAATTTCAAATTATAATCTAAAAATATGGTATAGGTTATATACATTTGTAGACAGAATTTATGCCACGGAATGGATTAGTCCAGTGGAAAACCATGACACTTTAGCAAGACTGAGGTTCATGGTTCTGAATATTTGCTAAAAACCATATGGTTTAAACCAAGTTCGACAAAACCCAGCTGATTCTACTGGACCAATACCATTTCAACTGCCCATTGGTCCAAATATGCTGGTCAGAGCGGACTAGGGTCCATTTCACTAGGTTTTGCCAGAAAATTACCGGTCCGGTCCAGGTTTAATAACTATGGTTTTACAAAATAGGTTTGACCAATAACAAGTTTCTAAAACACCGTACTTGTGTTTTTCTATGACTGTTATTTGCTTTTTTAATAGTTATTTTTTGAACTGTTTATCCGAAAGCTGAAACCAATAAGGTGCTAGTTTTAGTCTGGGAAGCATCTATAATCATAAGACCTTCATGTATCCATCTCACTTGAATATTTGCTAATTTTATACATCAAACCAGTTTGATATATATCTGTACTCTCCAGTACATGGAAATGTAGAGATGTCTTTGATCCACTATAGTGTCCTAGTTAATGTAGCATTGCAATTATTGTTCAAATTTTTAATTACCTTGAGGTCATGGATATACAATGTTTTATTCTCTTTCTTCATTGAGAATATCTTTTTTGTGTATAAGAAATGAAACATTTATCATCTCTGTGTGTGTGTGTGTGTAGTGATGATATATGTTGGCATTAATTATTAATTATCTTTTTTTGTTGGTGCATCCTTAATGTATCTTCTAAATTTGGAAAATAGCATATTTCTGTATCTGTATTGCGTTGTTTCAGATGTTCCTGCTATTTTTTCTGTTCACTTTTCTTACCATATCATTTCAACTTTACTAAGTAGTTATCTGTTCACTTTGGAACTAGAACTTAGTCGACTTAGCGGGTTCTGAAAGAATTGCTAAAACTGGAGCTGGGGGAGTTCGTTTAAAGGAAGGAAAGCACATTAACAAGAGCTTGATGGTTCTTGGCAATGTGATTAACAAACTAATTGACGGTGCAAAGCAAAGGTACTTGCATATTTACTGTTGTTTATATATCACAGTACAACAGTTTATTGACTAATCAATTTCCACACCCAGGGGACACATTCCTTATCGCGATTGTAAGCTTACTCGTATACTTCAACCTGCACTTGGTGGTAATGCAAAAACTTCAATAATTTGTACCGTGGCACCAGAAGAGGTATTCAATTGTTAATTGTATTATAATACTTCTCATATCAATTCCAACAGTAAGGTTTGACGTCATACATTGCAAGTAGGTCCACTTAGAGGAAACAAAGGGAACACTTCACTTTGCTAGCAGAGCGAAACGGATTACCAACTGCGTTCAAGTGAATGAGGTCCGTTTAAGATTTTAAGACATTTACATCCTTAAGCATCTTAAATTTCTGTTTTCCTTTGTGAATTGTTGTACAATACATAATATTTTGTACATTATATCTTGTCATTAATGCATTATGTTCCAGGATTTCTGATTCATATGTTGTGATGCTTATTTTCCTCAGTGCCATTGATTTGAGACTTTATTGGTCAGCCAACTGACTGATTGTAAAATCTTGAAGTGTGGATAAATGTGATTCCTCATATATCACTTCCTGCAGTGAAGTCTAGGATTGATTGCAATTTGAGTTTAATGGAAGAATGATGTTAAATTCTTAACTTTACTGAAACTTTGAAAATAAAGTCCACTTGGTTGTCAGGGCATATAAAAAGTCTTCAAGTTCAGCATTCTTTCTTTTATAATTGATTAAAATTAATGCTTATAAATATTAATGTTACTTTTTCAAAACAGAAAGGGTTCTCTGTTTGAGCATGAGCATAAATGAGGGAACTAATATCTTTTTGAGCTGTCTGTCTCAACATGGCATCCAATAAGTATATATAATTTTCAATTTAATTTTTACTAAATTATCTGATCTGTTCAATGAAATTTGCTAATGTTTGGATCAATTGATGGACCTTTTACTAAATTGGGATTCATTTGGACTCTTGCTTTGTGTTTTGTCCTGAGAATTAATAACTTGTGAAGCATTCTGTTGCTAAAACTACTTGTTCATGTATGTTATCAATGGCTAATTAAGAGCTAATATTAAATCCTTCATATGAAACGACTATAAAGATCATTATTGTTCGTTATCTTTCAGATATTAACTGATGCAGCTCTATTAAAGCGACAAAAACTTGAAATAGAGGAGCTACGCTTGAAACTTCAGGTGATCATATTGTTTTTCTTTGATTGGGATTTAGAACTGAGAATATCCTAAACATGCTAATACTTCTTTCTCAGGGTTCACATGCGGAAGTATTAGAGCAAGAAATCTTGAAACTGAGGAATGATATGCTGAAGGTAAATCTTTCCCCATACTCTGTCAAGTTACCAGCATTTTGATATCATTACTCATTAGTCACTGTAGTTGCTCTTATTCCATTCATCAGTATGAGTTAGAGCGGGAGAAGCTTGCTATGGAATTAGAAGAGGAAAGGAGATCACATAAGGAGCGTGATCAATGCATCAGGAAGCAACAAATTAAAATCGATAATCTTAGCAACCAGGTAGATATTGATGATATCGTTTTCACTTCTCTGTCTAGCTCTTTTTTTCTTTTGCAATGGAGTACTACCATCACTTCTTTAAAATATCACTTGGTAGGACAGGCTTGGATTTTTTAATTCTGATCTATTTTTCCATCATTTCTATTAAACCAGCAACGTCTGAAGCCCATTTTGGCAGAAACATTCTGTTACCCGTTGCCGCTCATCTAAGCTGAGGATTGCCCTGCATTCACTAAGACTAATTAACATATATTTGTAAACCATAACTTTTTTTATTCCAGAAGGGCCAAAAGCCAGAAGGCTTAAAACTAAGAGCTTGTTTGGGAGAGTTATTTTGAAAATATGTTTTCCCCTAAATCGTTTTCAACTACACATTCTATGGGAACCATAACTTTTCTCTACGTTTGAACTGCAATGTCTCCAAAAAAAATAAAAATAAAATAAATGATCTCTCATTGGAAAAATCGCTCCCAAGCAAAATCTAAGTTGTCACCAAGTCAGGCGACTCAGGCCCGTGAGGGTGTGGTGTGCCTTGGGACAGATGTAAATTGGATAAAGATGCTGTCTTCATATTAGAGTCAAAGATTGGATAGTTGTATACCAAAGCATTATCATGATAACTTTTTTTGATGCTGAATCAACATGAATATGGTGGAAGCGCCAGTACAGCTCACATGTTCATTTTCCATGAAACATTCCCCAGTTTCTTCTCTTTAATTACACATCATAGCAGGAGATATAATTGTTCTTATTGCCAATAGATTTAGTATCGTGGATACAAATTAGTAAGTTGTCAAAAACAATTGAGAGGGGCTTCTTCTATTATAGTCCTATAATTTTGTACTTCTATTCAACTGATTTGCTGACCAATTCGTCACTAATATTACAACTCTTTGTGGAGCTCAGAATGTTGGCAAAGGAAGCCTTGGAGAGGAAAGCAATGACAGTCACAGCATCTGCCAAGAAGATGCCTTTAGTACACCTTGTTTTAAAGCAGTTCCCAATGCTTTTGTATTTAAGCGCTCACAGTTCTCTAGGCAGCCAGATTGTAGTCCACTTCCAGATACATATAATGACTTTGCTGATGAAGACACGTGGATGAAAATGAATAAAGGTTATGTAGCTGACCTTGATGCACTTAATATGACTCCAGCAAGGAAAGTTCAGTCATTTCCATCTGTTGATGTAAGTACTGCAAATTTAACTTTGTTTTATTGGTTTCTGTCAAGCATCATTCTGATACATGTACTCTTTTTCTTTATTGGTTTCACCTTGTGGGTAATAACGCCTTTCTGAGGTTTTATGTTATGGGAATAAAAGCAATGTTCATGCATCAATTCTGCAGCTGAAGATTCTTTAACATAAGACAGTTTTTCTTGTGTTTGACAATAATTGAAAAGTTGGATATCGGCTTGTCAGCTACTCTCCAAGTAAAGCATATGCTGTAATAGCTCAATTTGAAAAAGTAGAATTATTACCGGAGTTTGTGAATTAGTTTGATAAATACTCGTATGAATAATCTGAATTTGTTGATAAGCATTTGTCTTTCTGCAGTTTGCACTGCATTAAGAACAAATAAAAAGACATTGTCATGTCCAAGAATGTGACATGATTATGTGTGCTAATTTAGCCCTTGTTTGATTCTCATTTTGGAGGAAATAATGCATTTTGAATAGTAGATTGATGGGGAATGTGTGGCTAAAAATTAAAGAAAGGTTTTGGATTTACGTGTAATATTATTTTATTGAAGAACATGTGGTTGAAAATGAGTTTTGAAAAAATGAATTTTGGAAGAATGGAATAAAAAAAGGGCATAATGTGTTTCTTGTCCTCCCCCCCCCCCCCCCCCCCCCCCCCAATCTCATCCCTAGTTAAATGCCCTTTCTGCCCTTTTTTATCCTATTTCCTTCTGAACAAAAACAAGTTCTTGTTGAAGGCCCAGAGAAAGAGCTTCTTCAACTTTCTGTCTTTGGAGAATTGCTTGCACTTTTTCCTGGAATTCGACTGCTAATAGACCTTGTTGGACCTGCAGTTCCACAGCATAGGTCAGTTCCAATGTAGGTGCTTATTTGCTATTTGCTTTCGTGCTTGTTTGTTTTACATTATTTCCTCTCATTTTTTCAGATGAACCATACTGAACAAGTGACGTTAAACAACCAGCTAACTAAAGAAATATCCGAACTCCAGCAAGAGGCATTGCTAATTCAAGAAGTTCCTTGGGCCCTGTTTGAGTCCGTGACAAATTGCAAGGATGTTTACAAGGATATCTTTTCAGTTTTACAGGTGACTACCAAATAAATCTATTTTTGAAAAATTAGCTGTTGGGAAAAGTTTGCTGAAACGGTGGATGCTCTCCTTGCCATCTTTCTACGAGCAGGATTTTGTAGCTGATGAGAGATCTGCAACTGCTGAAATACTTTCTACAACAACTGAGATAGGTTTAAGTTTTTTTTCAACTCTGGAAGCTCATTTTTTGATGGCTATGGATGGCCAGAGATCCCATGTAAAAAATTATTCAATACAAGAACAATGCACTATGCTTCGGAAGAGGTTGAATAGCACGATTTCATCTTTGATATTATCAGATTCACCAAATATCAAGGATGAACGTTTGAAGGATTTTCCAAATAGCAGCAAACATAAGGTAGCTGCCTGGTTGCAAGTATCAAGATCTTGCGTGTCAATTTTGTTATTTTTCTTCATCCTAATAATTGGATACTATATGTCCTTAAGACTCACTTTTTAATGTGATAAGGGCACTTTGGGAGAAGAAATTGCTTCTTGGAAAAGGAAACTGGAAGATGAAGTCAAAACAATTAAACAGAAGTACCAAAATTTAGAGTCAGAGTTGGTGGTCAATAACAAAATTCTTGAGGTTTCTGAGAATAAATATCATAGCTTGGAAAGGGAGTTCAATCTTTTGAAAGCAGAGAGAGACGACCTTCTCGAAAGAGTGTCCAATTCATCGCAAATGCTTGCACAGTTTAGGGATCAGAAGGAAAATTTTCTACAGGATTTGAATGCTGAAGTACAGAGGAGGAAGAAACTCGAAGAAGAAATCAAACAATTCAGTGTTGCTTTTGCATCTCGGCAGAGGTCGATTATGTCTTTCCAAAGCGACTTCAAATCTGTGCTTGAGAACTTGAAGGCACAGAATCCAGTTTCAGCATCCAAATCTCTTGGATCTTGATGATGAGAATTGTTGTTGCCACTAGTGAATGATTCTTCACCTGTCCTTGCAAACTAGTCATTCGATACTTGTATTATTATTCAGATCAATTATAATTTACCTGTCCTAACATTTTGACTTTACTTTTCTAGGACGTTTATCATGTACTGTCTTAAGATTTCTTTTGTAGTTGATGCGCGAGGGTTGTGCCGAGAATTGGATTTTAAATTCAGTTCCAAATATTATGAATTTATTCAATGGAGTTGAAATTATCTTTCAACCACTCCGGCTAATGGACTGTGGTATTTGTTCCATAGGCTATTCCTTTTAAAGGGTGTTGGGAGTGTTTCATTGTTTATCTTCATGAAAATTAAAAAGAAAAAAAAATGCTCGTAGTATAATATTTATAAGTAATTATGATAAAATTACATTATTAGTTCCAATCTATTGTCTCAATGGCAAGTTGGTCATTAATATTTAAGATGAAACAAGTTTATCTCCTATTTTTTTTTTTTTTATTGTCATGCAATTTGACCACAATAATGAACAATTGTGCAAACTTTTTATAAAATTATCATATGATTGTAGTGGTTTCAATGGGTTGAATTGAACTGGCTTAACCTTATTAGCCACGAGCTCGACTTGTTTGTCAAGGGCCAAGAGCTTGCAAGTTTGAGTTTTATTATTATTATTTTTTGTAAAGTTACCAAACGATGTTTGGTTACTTTGTTGACGAGCTCGTGAATTTTAAGTTTGTAAATCGTGCCCATCAGCCGCTCATGAGTTCAAAAAGTCAAGCCTTGCTCGGCTCACTACACTAGTCCCCCACTCAGCTCGTGCTCGTCCTGACACTAGTCGAGCTATCGATAGCCAAGTTTTGACGAGCTATTGACTTTTTTATCACCTCTACATGGTCATCTTAGAAATGTACGCCATATTAAATTTTGAGGACCAACTTCAATTAAAAAGAATTATAATTTTGGATGTTTGAAAGTGATTGACTTAACTAAGATTTGGACAATTTCCATGATTGGAGATTGACTTGCAATTATATTGAAAGATTGATGACCGAATTGCTCCTTTTTCAAAGTTTGGGACAATAGATTAGAGGTCAATGGTAGTTGTCCCCAAAACTTTTGAGCCCTAGTCATTTCCCGCAAGTTTGACTTCGAAATTCGAATATCCCCAATCCAAAACCCTAGCAAATCGAATTTAGTTCCACTCTAGATTTTTTTTTAGTTTCTTTTTTCAATTATGCTAGTTATCAACATTTCCTTTAAGCAATAGGCGTCGACGAGTGGCGAATTGGAGGAGATGAGGCTATTTGTTAGGGTTATATCATGGGAGACAACTGATGAAGTTCTGAACCAACACTTTAGCAAGTATGGAACGGTGGTTGGGTCTGAGATTGTAAAGGACCGAAACAGTGGCCATCCTAGATGCTTTGCTTTTGTCTCATTTTCTCAATCCTCTTCTGTTAATCATGCCCTTACATCACATTCTTGGAAGAACGGTTTTGTTTCTTAATGAATTACTTTTATCATTTTTGGGTTCTTTATTTTTTTTTTCCTCTTCTTTTGGGTGTGCTTTCGTGTCTAATAAGACTCCATGTTTTGGTTTTTGAGCTTTCTTGACATGGGTTTTACTTTTTATGCTAAACAAAGTGGTTAGAATTTTGAATTTTTAGGTCTTTTATCTTTGTTGGTATATGTGAGTTTTATACTATTTTGCTTATGGCAGTAATTTCAAGTTTTATTTTTAAGAATGTTGGATGTTGCAGCTTTTTCTTGTTTTATAATGGTTAAAATTTTGAGTATTGGGGCTTTTGAGATTGTGAACTTTCTTATTTTAATATTATTTTTGCAATTTCTGATTTCGAATTCTTGTATTTTTGTATATATATTTTTTTCCCTTTGTGGGTATTCTTTTTTCTTGGCAGTAAAGATCAAAATAAAATTCTAGTGTATGAGTTCTTATATGTCTTACTTTTCGAAAGTGTACATCAATGATTTTTATTTTTTTCTAAAGATGAAAAATATTTATAACTGTACAAATACTTCTTATGTTTTTATTTTCAAGATTTTTTGGGTCCATTTTAACGATTATTTTAACTGAAAATTTTCTTACCTTCTGTGAGATAATGTGGTAATGTAACAAAGAGAATAATGGTGGATCTTTCTTGTGTTATTTGATATGTAACTTGGTAGTTTATTTTTATTCTTATTATGAAGAACATTTGTTTGATGTGAATCAAGGATTTCTTTGCTAAATTCCTTCTGCCGTGTTTTTTAATAGGTAGAGGTGAAAAAAATCCATCCCATGGATTGAACAACAACAACGTAGACAGCAGCATGATAGGTGTGGAGTAGGAATAGTAGGATCAACAATCTTGGTAATCCAAAGAAAATTTTTGTAGGAGGTTTGTCAGCTGACTTAACTGAGGAAGAAATTTGGAGTTTTTTTGAGAAGTTTGGTAGGACTACAGACGTAGTTGTGATGTAAGATAATGTGACCCATAACCCGAGGGGTTTTCGATTTATTACTTCTGATTCAGCGGATTGTATTGAGAAGGTTATCCAAAAAAGTTTCATGAGTTGAGTGGAAAGCTTGTGGAGGTTAAGAGGGCTATACCTAAAGAAGGAATAAGCAGTAGTTGTCAGCTGACTTAACTGAGGAAGAAATTTGGAGTTTTTTTGAGAAGTTTGGTAGGACTACAGACGTAGTTGTGATGTAAGATAATGTGACCCATAACCCGAGGGGTTTTCGATTTATTACTTCTGATTCAGCGGATTGTATTGAGAAGGTTATCCAAAAAAGTTTCATGAGTTGAGTGGAAAGCTTGTGGAGGTTAAGAGGGCTATACCTAAAGAAGGAATAAGCAGTAGCAGCAATGGTTATGGAAAGCTAGGTGGTGGACAAGGGTTCAACTATTATCAACAAAGGAGTTTCCTGCCTTACAATGACACGTTTGGGTATCTTCTCTCTGAATATGGTAGTTTTGCTGGTTACCCACATGGAGCTGGAAGTTTTGGTGGTGGATATGGTGAAATTGGTTATGACCTCACCCCTGGAGCACCTATGAGTCCTTGGAGAAGACCTGAAATGGTTGGTGTTAAGAGAAGTTTCTTGCTTTATGGCAATGCTGCTCCGGGCTATCTCACATACTTTAATGGTGGAGCTGGAGTGATGGGTATGGCTGCAAATGGATATTATGGGATCTTGTGGACTGGATTCGATGCATAATCGATGCAAGCTTACTAGTGGACAGGCCCATCTCTTGCCCACAGTAGATAGGATAAAAATTTTACACTGCTAACATGGTAAGAAAAACTTACTTGTGATTATCTCAACTTCAGAGAACCATTTTCTTGCCACGTCAATAGAGGGAAGCTTTTATCGTGTCTTCTTTTGGTAAGAGATCAATTTCATACTAATGGATATTGTCATTGGACCGCAAGGTCGAGACTTGAGACTTGGCATGACACAAAGCGGAACATGAGGTAGACCTATGGCCAATAAGGACTAAGTTTCGTCGGTACATGACAATGAGGGCGTCGCCAAATTTGCTGGGA